TCTAATGATTGTTTTTTATTATTTAAAACATTTATTTAAATTTTTTTCTAATTTGTGAATAAAATATGGTTTATTGCAGAGTATTTGCAATATAACAAGAACTATAGAAAACTATAACCAGATGTCTAATTCTATCATCCGAAGTAAATCATTAAAACATTTTGCTGTGTATGAATGATCTCAAGCTATATTTTTATTGAAATTAAACTTTTTTCATATGTCTAAACATAATTTCTATATTTTCTTAAACATTTTATATTTTACTTTGACATAATTTTAACAATAAGCAAGCCAATTTTATTTGATAGTTTATTTTAATCAGTAACTCTTACTAGACCCTCTGAGCTTCACTAATGCTTTGTTAAAATTCTGTCCATTGGTTCCACAATTGAAGATATTTATTTATTTTTAAACATTGAACTCTGAAATTTCCCTATTGACTTATGAAACTTGTTTTTAAGGAGAAAACTGCTTTTTAAATTTTCTTTGTGCTGTTGAAATAACAGAGAACTTCCTAATTTTCCCTGAATATAATCCATTAAAATTTAATTCTGTGGTTTCTGCCTTTGTCATGCTCCTAACCCAATATTATAAGACACAGTGAATCATGTATTCCACTTGTATATCCGTCTTGACCTTTTATGAATTGCTACTATTGAAATGTTAAAATATTTGAATACATTTCTCTAAGACTATGTGGGTAACCAGCTTTATATATTCCCAAATAACTTCACCTTTATCCTAAACAAATTTTTAATTAATGACTGTTTCTAAAACCTCATATTTCTTACATCTATTTATTGTTTCATCTAGTCTTAGGAAAATTTTATTATTGCAGCTTTATAATATTTTTTTTTATAAAATGGCTTGGTCTCTATTGTTCTTTTTCAAGAATGTTCCTAGCATTTATCAGAGGACACTTTGCAAGGGTAGGTGGGAAAAGAGGACAAAGACATGTTTGGTCTCTCTTGGTGGATTTGTTTTATTCTCAAAAGTTGATATCTCACTTAGAATATACTTCTAGTCTCAGCAGTCTATAATAGATCACTAAATCTATAACTACCACCTTAGTCTCAGTGATGCTGCAACTCTAAATATCTTAGGCAGTCGATGATCAAACAGCAGTGCTTTTACTATCACAAGACTTAGTTATTTACATATTTATTTTTTCAAGTTTTTAAATTAGTTTTACAACTTTATGTAAAATTGATGGTTGTCTGATTTAAAGTCTTTGATAGCTAAATGTAGCCTACATTTTGGGAAGCATTTAATCTTAAATTATAAAAATCTTAAATTACTTGAACTTATAAAAATTAGAATCTGTGTTAAACCCCAAAAGCTAATATACCAGAAGTACATACCATTGATAGTTAAATGAATTTATGGTTTTTGGAGATCTGTATGGCATTCATGTACTTGTTTCCAAGACTTTAATAAAACATATTATAATAGTTTATTTAAAATTGAATATTTAAAATTTAATAATATAATATACCTTACAGATTTTTCTATGTTAGCACCTATAGATTTGCATGTTTAAATATTTTCATTAAAATCAACTTCTGAGCAATTTTCCAATTTTTGGTTATTAAAGACAATTGTATAATGAGTACTTTCAGCATTTTTCTTTGAAAATTTAGCCTTTAAATCCCAGAAGTAGAGGTTCTCCTTTGAAGTGTTCTAAAACTTTTAAATCTAAGACATAGTTCCAAATTTTCCAGAAAATATTGTGTCAACATACAAATGGTTGTATTTAAAATTTTTTATCTCATATCCCCACCGAAATTGATTTTATTTTTTAAAATGATAAAATTACATATATTTTCACTTGCATTTCTTTACTTATCAATAAGGCTGAGCATGTTCATATTTAAAGATTTTTGTAGTTCTTCTGTGAGTTCCCAGTCCTAATAGTTTCTTCTCTTTTCATTGTTTCCTTAAACTTTTCTCAATGAGTACTATATATTGCTTGTAAATCAGGGATAACAGTCCTTTGTTTTGTGCATTGAAAATATACTTCATCTCTGTTTTTTAATGCTTTTCACTATTTTTTTCACTCTCATAATCAAATCTATGAGTCTTCACAGATTCTAGTTTTTTAATATCTTCCAAAATGTTTTTAGTCACTCCATTATCTTAAAATACTCATCCTTCTTTGTTTTTTATTTATTTCATATTTTTATTTTTACAGGTATTAGCCTTTTATACCTCTGAAATTTATTTCACATGATAAATGAAACTGGGATCCTGATCTCCCCAGTCCCAATAGCTCGTTAATTGTTCCATTATCACTTACTGAATATTTTGTTTACTAATTCAGAAAATATAGCTTTATGACATTTACATATGTGTTATGAGAAGAAACTCAGAGGAAATGATCAAATGCCAATCCTTAGGGGCTAAGCAATATGAATTCTGAAGGTCAGCTTTTTAGAAGAATATAGAAAAGTCAGCCACCGACATTTACTGACATTGCACAATTCTGACATCAGGAAGAGACACTTTCTCAAAGAAGAGCCACCATCAGCAGTGAAGGTATCACAGTGCAGCCCTCCTGGCTCACCAGTGAACCATCGCTGTCTCTCCACAAATGTCTTTACCATGTTGCTTGTTGCTCACAGCAAATAGAGCTTTTCTTCTATTTTCAGTTTCACAGTTTATTTTTATATCCTTGAGCCAACATCAAACTGTCTTAGAAGACAGTTATCTCCTTCAGATGGTTTGGTTTACGATTTTTCAACTTTACAAAGTCATATTTGAACATTCAGTAGGAACTGTTCTTCAAATTTTGATCTTTCCCCTGGCTTTTGATGTATAATGTAGAGTTTTGTGTGCTCTTAGGCAATGGAAGGGAGCCACAGCTCCAGCCAGTCACAGGGTCATGAGGGCAATGTAGAATATGCCATCAGGTTTATTTTTTTTAATGTATTTTGTGTCTTTTAATCCTATCATGTCTGATATGTTTCTGTCTGAGATAATTAACACTTTCTTATAAAATAAGCCTTTATGTTAGGTGATTTTAGCCAAGTGTGGGTTAATCAAAAGTGTTCTCAGCATTTTTAAGATATGTCAGGCTACGCTATGATGATGATTGGTTAGATGAATTAAATGCATTTTGACGTATAATATTTTCCACTTGTAATTTGTGTATTAGGAAGTAACCGCATCACAAGACAAAGAAGGTAGTCTATAGCTTTACAGTGGGTCTTGATAAATTATACAATTAACATGCTAGCTTGTTCTTCAAGGTTCCCTTGGCTCATCTTGGTCTTTTGCATTTCAATACACATTGTACAATAACCTCTCATATTTTAAAAATCTCCTGCTGGGATTTAGCCTGGGAGTAAGTTAAATGTGCACATGAATTTATGGTTGATTGACATATTCACAATTCCTCAACCTAATATAGTTCTACACTTATTGGATGTTTATTTTGTTATCATTTCAAAATTATTGCATTATTTGCCTATCTAGCTCTTTAACAGTTTAGTATATAAAGAGATATAAAGATATAAAGAGATTTATCTGCAATAACAAATAGTGGTTAGAAGGAGACTTTAAAAAACTACTAATGTTTGTGAGTTGAGTATTTGGCATTAGTCAATTAGTTGGAAATGAATTAGTAATTTACTTCTAGAAATATAACCTTTAAAAAGTCCTTTACATGTAAATAGAAATGTATCTACATACATAAACTGCACCATTTTAATAACAATTCAGCAATATGGAATTTTTATTTGCAGATAATCATTATGACAGAATATAATTTTTCATTTTTATAAGCTACACACAAAATAATATAGGTGAGCTTTACCTCAAGTGGTATTTTTAATTTTATTTAAAAATTATGAAGCAATACAATAAGAATACAAATATTTGTTAATTGTGTAATAGTAGTATGGTGATCTTTATTATATTATTCTTGTACTATCCTGAATTAAAACATATCAAAATATTATAAAAATACATTGAGTGTACTTATTTCCATTAGTGAAGTATTCAATTATATATAAATAATTTTGTGGGTCTTTTTTCTAATTTCACTTTAAAATTATATTGTGTTATTCTCTCTTCTTGGGTATCTGGCATATCTTCCTTGATAACTTTCTCTAAAAAGTCTGGCTGGCATCATACATGTTTAAATGGGACCCACCTTACCAATCCATGGTGTTTTCCCTGTAGGTCCCTCTCTGTATTTCTGATATCCTACAGATATTATGAATGCTTTAAAATATGTTTGCACAGTCACATGGAAGAGAAAATAAGTTAAATGAGACAATATGAAGCCAGCACTAGCATCCATTCACGCGCTCTCTGAACACTCTACCTCTCAAACAACTATTCATAGGCTCAAAGGTAAATTCGGGAGAAGATGGAAATATTTGCACTCTTTCACCTTTGGGAAAAAATAGATGAGAAGACACTTTAAGTTGGTCAACCATAGATTCATGTGTTATCTCTACTTATCTGACTTTCAGCACAGACTACAGGACTGACTCCTAGATTTTCAGTGTTCTACATTACATATACTCAATTTCATTTTTCTTGGTGCTGTTTTTCAGTTATAAAATATTTTGGTCTCTTCCTTCCTCATTTATGTGCTTCTTATTACTATGCAGTGTAGAAACAGGGTTCAAGATGGAAACATCCTCTCATTTTCCTATGGAGAAGCAGTAAATCTGTTCCTCAAATTCCAAAAAGATGGCATGGAACAGACAACTGAGAAATTCATTTTTCTCAAGATTAGTACAGATATAGATGGACGGCTTCAGTTCACTTAAAAAAAGCCATTGTATATGGCAAATATTCTTCATAATCGCTGTTAATAAATTAGATCTATTCTTAATTCTTTAATTCAGTGCTGTTTCACATTGTTTATTCTTTTTGCACATTTTAATATATTTTAGGAAGCAAAATTAAGTGTGTATGTGTTTTTTCTCTCCACTTTAACTCACAGATTTTAATTTTGTTTTAGGTAACATACACCAACAGCCAAACAAATGGAAAAACAAAATTACTCCACAGTGTCTGAGTTTATTTTGCTGGGACTCACAGATGTTCGTGAGTTACAGATTTTCTTTTTCTTTTTTTTTTCCATTGTCTATATATCCACTGTATTAGGTAACCTCACCATTATCTTGGTAGTGAAACTGGACCCTCAATTGCACTCTCCCATGTACTTCCTACTGGCCAATCTCTCCTTTATTGATATGTCCTTGGCCTCCTTTGCTACTCCTAAAATGATCTTCAATTTAATTAGTGCATATAAGGCCATCTCTTTTGAAGGCTGCATGGCCCAGATGTTTTTTCTTCACCTTTTTGGTGGGAGTGAGATGATGCTGCTTGTATCCATGGCATTTGATAGATACATTGCAATACGCAAACCCCTCCATTATAAAAATATTATGAGCTATCGTGTTTGCATCATTCTTACAGTTCTCTCCTGGACAGCCGGTTTAGTGCACACTACGAGCCAAATGGTTTTCACAGCAACTTTACCATTCTGTGGTTCCAATGTCGTTAATAGTTTTTTTTGTGATCTGCCTCGGGTGATCAAACTTGCCTGCACTGACACCTACATCTTGGAACTCTTGATCATTGCATTCAGTGGAGTGCTCTCTTTGTTCTGTTTCATCATTCTGTTCATCTCCTATAGCATCGTCCTGATGACTGTCCAGCATCGCTCATCCAGTGGGTCATCGAAAGCTCTGTCCACCCTTTCAGCTCACATTACAGTGGTAGTACTGTTCTTTGGACCTTGCATTTTTATTTATGTGTGGCCATTCAGCAATGTCTCTGTTGACAAAATCCTGTCTGTGTTTTATACAATTTTTACTCCCCTTTTAAATCCAATCATCTATACATTCAGGAATAAAGACATGAAGAAAGCAATAAGAAAAATAAAGGCCAGGCATGTGAACTCCAGATCAAACTTTTAACTGAAATACAATCATCAAAGGCATCATCATCATTGCCATCATCATCATCATCCAGAGACACTGAGGTATATGATTTTGTACCAATTAGAAGTCACATTCTGGGAAATGATGGTCCTTTCTACAGAAGCATGTACACAATAAAATATCTGAATCATGTACCCAAGTACAAACCATTCCAATATAATACCATTCACTTATGTTGCAATTTTAATTTTTTCTATAAACTAAATTGAGTTCTAAGTAGTATTTATTGGGTTCTAACAATGTCTGAAGTACTTTGCATACATTTCACTTAACTTCAAAACAACAAAAAAAAAACAGGGTGGCGCAAGGGGTTGAGCACTGCACTATGAAGCAATCCGCAGCCTCTGTAGCACAAGTTCAATACCTGGCCGGCCAGGGAGCAATCCACATGGCACAGCAGACCTCTCCTGTCTTGCCCGCTGCTCCCCTCAGCAGTGTATTTCAGTCAATCTGCCTGTTCTGCTCCCCACTCTGTCTCTGGTGAATCCTCTCACCCCCCACATACAGCAAGAGTGTACCCCAGCTCTTGTATGCATAAATAAACAAATCTTTAAAAAACACACACACCAAAAAAAAAAAAAAAACAGGAAACATTATAAATACTATTACTAGAAAACTGAGCATTATAAAATTTACCAAGCTTGGCCCAGACATTGTGAACATTAGACTTCGAATCAGATCCTACATGTACTTAAAAAAATCTATGCTCTTATAAAATATGTTTATCTGAGTTTTAATAACATTTATGAGTTGCTGTTCTTGTCCTTTCACTTACATATCATTGTTCCCAATAAAATCTTTGCAATAACAGGATAAAACAATTTAAAATTGATCTGAAAGTATAAAACCACCAATTATCTCATTATCCTTATGCCTCTGGTTCAAAAAAAAAAGAGCTTTTTAAGCCAGCTAAGCAGATTTATCCCAATTATCTAGTGCACTAGGATTGCTGTTACAAAATAGGCAGTGCATATCATACCTGAAATCCAAGTTACCCTCTATGGTACTTGATAACACTTGCATACCAATGAATAAAAGTAAATGAAAATAACATAATCTACAAAAATTAAAATTCTTTCACTCAAGCAAGAAAGAATTACTATCATCAGAGTCTTCAATGAAGGTGAAAAAAGAATGAAATAGGCTGTAAGAGAAGGCGACCATAAATACAATGTTTCACTACCCATTGGCAAAACTATGGAAATTAAAAATAATTTCATCCTAAATCATTATCGTTAGGCTAACCATATGGTTAGCATTAGACTAACCATATATTTGTGGTATTTGGTAATGGATTTCAAATTCCCTTTTTAATTTTTCTTACATGGAGACATTTTTGCTGAACTTTAAATTTTAGCATCTGGGTTACAGAATACTCGTGTGGGATTATAACTAAATTAGAAGAGACACCAATAATACATAGAGATGGCTATATTTACCTATAGGAAAATTTATCTTTAAATTTGGAAAAAAAGGGAGAGAATATCTTAATTTGCATGGGGCATACATATCATTATGTCTGAACAACTGTCATTCTTTGAAGTTGAATAAATGTGGAATGGTATTTACAGATTCCGAACAGCCAAGTGGAAAGATGATTCTGAATGTGCATTGACTTTCAGCCTCACATTAGCTCTTCTATAGTCTCCTCTCTATAACAGAGAGCTGCCAGCCTGAAAATGACCTAGATTCATTTATGGGCTTACTTCTGTAAGTCTCTATCAATGGAAGATACAAACACAATAAAGGAAGGCAGGGGAAAAAAGGGGGGTGTTTTACATGTTTGTGTGTTTGGCCCTGACAGCAGCAATGGACTAAGGACCTGGACTCCAGAAATTTGTGGTGGACTCAGCAGCATCAATAGAATGAAGGTTCCAGGTTCTTGAAACTTCATCAAGTTTATCAACTTTTAAATTTTAACTCAGTAGTAGGTAGAGGTTTCAACCTCTACAATGGTAGTGCTGTCCCCACAGTATTTATAGATTCTGGCTAATGTCATTTCCTTTTTGTCTCCTCTTTATTCCTCATTTCTGAGCTGCAAGTTTTTATTTTCAATTTTCTGCTACAATCCTTCCTTAGGTATCTTCAGGGCATCTCAAGTCCAAAGTATAAAATCTAAATGAATCACCTACTTCCCAAACTTGCTATTTTCTGTACTCTATCAGAATTACAATCATTATCAGACTAATAGTTCAATCTAGAAACCAGGATTTATGTCTACAAATACATAGAATCCTAATGGTATCCTGCATTCTTCTGAGGCTCAGTCTATTATTCTTATTTATTTCTGAGACTGTGTAATCTCCATAAATAAATCTTCAGATTCACTGTTTTGTTTTATTTCCTGTTTGTTCAAATATATATCATATATATCATATATATGATAATATATGATATATATATTTGAACAAACATATCATATTCTACCAATATCATATTCTACCCAATTTCTTGACTTGAGCTATAATTTTCAACTCTAGAATTTCCATTTGGCTATGTTTTATAATTTACATATCTTTGTTGATATTCTCTATTTAATTGCCCTCTTCTAATTCTTTAGAAATGATTTTCTTTAGTTTTCGGAATATATTTATTACTGTTTTGAAATATTTTTCTTCTAAGTGCAATATCAGGGTCTCCATGAAAGTAACTTCTGTTGCTTGTTTTTGTATATGGGATACATATTTGTGTTTTTGTATGTCTCACCATTTTTGCTGCAAAGCTGGACATTTTGGATAATACATTATAGCAACTCTGGTTACTGCCCCTTTGTTCCTCCAGGGTTGGTTTCTTTTTATTTTATTTAAAGATTTATTTATTTATGGATACAAGAGCTGGGGTATAGGCCAGAGGTGTGTGTGTGTGGGGTGGGGCTGGTGAGAGGAGTCACCAGAGAGAGTGGGGAGCAGAAGAGGAGGATTGACTGAAATACACTGCTGAGGGGGGCAGTGGGCGAGACAGGAGAGGTCTGCTGCAACATGTGGATCAAACTCGTGCTTCAATGGCTGCCGATAGCTTCATAGTGCTGAGACTTAACTTCCTGTGCCACCAGGGAGGCCCGAGTTTTGATGTTCTTAATCTTTACTTATTTGTTTAGTGACTTGGTTGTATTAATTCTATGATGTTAGAATTAACACACTGCCCCACAGCGTATAGCCTCTGATTTCTCTGCTCAGATGATTTTCCTTGTGCTTAACCTCTAACCTATCTACTTCTGTGAGACCATAAACCACTTATTGGTCAATGATTAAGCTTAAGCCTCCTCAACCAATTAGAACTTTATCCTTTACTACCAGATGTGGCAAGGAGTTTGCATCTTTCCCCACATTTAGGCAGGGAATATTGCTGGGTATTCCCTCTTCAATTACTCCTGAGAGGTAGACAGGCTTGGGCATTCACACTGTCTTCCAGACTACCACTGTGTGACTTTATTTCTAAGTTTGGCCTCCCGGGAGTTGTCCTTGAGTCAGTATAGTTTAATTTTTCAGATAGTTTTTGATTACAGGATGTTTTTATGCTTTGGATGCCAGGGAGACCTCCACCCCTTTTAATGGATCTGTGTGTAGCTTAGAGAATCTATTCATTTCTTCTCAGTGTCTCTCTTTGATTTCTCTCCTAAGTGGATGCATCCTATGCATGCACTAGCCTCCCTTATCCCCAGGGTTGACCATGATCCCAGTAGGGTTTTACTTGTTTGTCTCTTAACATGTTGCTCTCTATTAAACTTCTGTTTGCTATGCAATTTGGTTTGTTGATATCAGTAACTTGGTGCTATGAGTAACTTGTTAATTGCTCTCCACCAAGAACTTGGTTTTGTGTTTTTTAATATTGCCTTTATGTACATGGAACTCTCCAAACTCTGCTCCAAATACACACAAGGCCCTCAGGTGGAGCTGTGAATTCTTTTTACTTAGGATGTGACTATCCCCCTGGACAGAATCTACATGCCAATATACCGGACCTAGGGAGAGACAGCCACTCGTTTCATCTAAGTGACACCCCTGCTTTTTTTTTTTTTTAAGATTATTTATTTATTTATTTATTTGTTTGTTTGTTTGTTTGTTTATACAAGCACTGGGTACAGTCAGAAGCACGGGAGGGTGAGAGAATTCACCAGAGCCAGAGTGGGGAGCAGAGCAGGCAGAAGGACCGAAGCACACTGCTGAGGGGAGCAGCGGGCGGCAGGAGAGGTCTGTGCGCCATGTGGGACCCTCCTCCGGTGGCTGGGGGAGCAGCCGGGGATTGAACTGGCACTGCAGAGGCTGCGGGCAGCTTTGCAACCCAGCGCTCAACCGCTGCGCCACTGGGGAGGCTCTGACACCCCTGCTTTATGAGTAGGCATTAGGAGGGGTGGAGTGTTCCTGGTCAGCTTTCTGGCCAAATCAGGTTTGTGTTCTATGGCATGAGCTTCCACTCTACAAGTAATTTGGAGGATTGAGATGCTGTGGAGAGGGAGACAAGTATTTTCACTAGTCATGTCTGGAGTACAAGTTTTGATAATGGTAGTGGTGGTGATAATGAGGATAAAAACACTCATGACAACTGCCTCTGGACAAATCTTTAAGTGAAAATAATATGTTATCTTTAACTATAGGTACAATGCTGTAGAGTGATTCCTAAAACAAATTCATTTAGTAAACTGAAACTACATATTCACTGAAGAGCAACTTCCCATTTACTCCTCCTGCCTGTTCCTGCAAACCACCATTCTACATTTTGTTTCTATGATTTTGACTTAGATCCTAATATAAGTGGACTCTGCCTTATAAGAAGGTGCTGGGTGAGAAAAGAAAGCCTCCATCTTTTCCTTTGTGCCTACCCGAAGCAGAGCTTCTTCAGCACTTAAGATCTTGCCCTTCAAGCTGAAGCTTGAAACCACAGTCTCAGACTAGAAGCTAGGAGGAGTCTCTGTCTTCTTGGCTACATCTGCATGGAGCACAGCACCCAGAGAAGAGTAGAGTGGGGCTCCCATAATATGACGCTGGTAGGGAATAGAGAGAAGTGGAGTTATTCTTAGATGCCAGATAACTATTTTTAATAAGATATAGTAGGCTATCTTGAATAAACGTTCTCTATTTTCTGCCCTAGAATAACTTCCAAAGACTCTAAATAATCATTCTTTGTTATGTTTCTGTAGTCATGTTTGTTGTGTTGGGGAGAGAGTCCATGAGGTCCCACACTTGGCCATTCTAAAAACCCCCACCTCACTTGATTCTGACACAGAAAATCTATAGACCATATTTTGGACTCAGCACTCTCTGCTGATACTGTCACCAATCATGGATCCTCTGTTATTACATCTTCACAATTGTACCTGAGAATTTAACCATACCATTTTCTGCATCACCCTCCAAACCTAATGTCAGATTTTCATCATTTCTACTAGATTATTCAAGTAACGGCATAATTACTTCAGTGCCTCTAACCATGACCTTGTGAAAATGCAGTTCTCCTCAGTCTCTAGTTTAGCATTTCAATAGCACATTGATAATTACAGAATAAATTCTAAACTGTTTTGATGTTAAAAACATTTCAAAGTTCATGTTCTAACCTAACTTTTTCCTAGCCCCATCAAAAACTCTCCTTTCTTCATGACCACTCTATTACATACTTCAAAGGTACTAGCCTTTTTCTTTTCATTTAATTCCTCTGGAGAGTTTGTTTCCATACCTTCTGACATACAATTTTCTCACCCAGATTTCTCTTTTTACTTCTCTCTGCAGCAAGTCCATTTCTATCAATAAAGGCACAGTTGTCTCTTAAAAGAAAGGTGCCCTCTTTCATCAGAAATTTGCAAGCTCCATGAAACAAAGTTTGACTTACTGCAAAACTGTATCATCACACTTAACACTGGGTTATTTGAGGTCCATCTCCAATAATACAATTCTGAGCTCCCTGAGGGCAGATCTTGACAGAAATATTTGAGCCTCAGTATAATACCTATTTCAAGGCCTCATATTAGCTACTTGAGAACTAACTGAGAACAAAGAATTTCATTATTGCTTGGAATAACAGCTACACCGGAAGCACTTGTGCTGCCAGAAAACACATTTAAAGTAAAGACACTTAAGTTTTGTTACCCAAAATTTTCTTTGGAAATCAAAGGACATTATATTCAACACAAGAGTCATTGTAATTAGACTGTTACTTGAATATTAGGGACTAAGAAGCAAATTCACTCAATAAATCAATCAAAAGCAAGACATTAAACTAGGGGAAGAAGTGTACCCTAAATATACACGCTAAATATACAATAAAAATATAAACTAGAAGCCCTCAACATCTGAGGACAGGGAAGGGATATTTGAAGAATCAAAGAACTTTATGCTGACCAGCAAACTGGAGTACGTAAGAAGTCAAGAAGTAACGAACTATTATTATAGGTAGTACAAAATTTGAAGGAATGTCTAATAGTGTCAGAATATAGTTCAACTAAAAGAGAAGACTGAATTAGGCAGTCATTAAAAAAATAATTTAAGCCCTTTGTTCCAAAGGAGTGTAAGCTAGCCACAGAAAATTGTAAGCTAGCCACAGAAAATAAATCAGGTATGGGGGAAAATGAGATATATCTATATCTCTTTTTATTTGGAGAGATAAATTGAATGTTTTACTAAAACAATATACAGATTACTTTTGGTACTATAATCTCATGTTATATATACTCACAATACACTTTCTTATAAATACAACATACTTTCTTGGCAAGTTATTGAAAGAGACTTCAAAGTCTGTGGTTCATAGTACACCAGGTTCATATGATTAATTTGTAAAAGTAATGCCTGTGAAATAAGTAGTATTAAAATAATTTACAGTAAAAGGGGTGATGATTATGAAACTATTTTATACCATATAGATATTTTTGGAAGTATCATAACAAGATTTGTAAATTAAAAAATTATTATTTTAATGAGTACAAAACAGTTCTACTGTTAATGTATACTATCAAATTTTTAATTATTTAACATTATTTTATCTTTTAAAATATATACATCATAAATAGCTAATGTTGTACATAACATGTCTTTATTTTGTAATGCTTCTAATAAGGTTTTATTTATTTTTAATAATTATTTATTCTTTTAATTTTGATAATATTAGGATTCTCCCCACCATGTATCACCACCAAATTACCCATAGTCCATTGTGCTTCATGGTGGACTTTTAGTAGTAAATATATAACATAGATAGGCAAATTTTTACATTTAAAATGGCATGCTGAGGGAAGTTTGGGGATTATTCATCTAAGAAATTGCCCACAAAGTTGTCTGAAGGAAGATAAGAGGATAAAACTCAGGAATAATGTGAAGGAAAGGGCGTGTCCAGTAAATTCAAGATGTCTACACTTTCTACAGCACATCAGCCAAGCAAACACCCTTCTGATTACTTTACTTTAATCAACCCCTGTGCAGAGAGAATGGCAACATATTACAGGGCCAGCAAATACTACATGCTGATAAGTATCTCTAGCGGTCATGCTAGGGCAGCAGCTGCAGTGTTTTAACAGCTCCCACTGAAATTTGGATTCCCAGAGTGCCAGAAAACCTGCCTCCAAAGTTGTTCACATCTTTATAAAAGAGGCAGAAAATAGTATGTGGAATCATATGCAGAGCATCATAGAGAATGAAAAGTAGGTTTTAATTTTGAATAATCCCTTGAACATATTCCTCATACTGCTTGTTAAGAACAGGTAAGTGAAAATATTATAGAGAACTAATCCTTTACAGATTTAATATGCTGTAGAAACATTTTCATTAATTTTCTGCTGATTGGAGAAAAGACTGTGACTTTTGACCCATCAAATTCTCTCTCACTGGATGATAATATTACTACTTTGAAAAAGCTATAACCAAAAACGTCTATGAAAATTTAAAGGATATATGTTCTCAACGTGATATTGCAGACTTAAATATGGGAGTGTATGGCAAGTAATTAAGAATGCTTAATAAAATTAAGAAAGTTAACCCCTGAGCTTCCAGATAAATCATACTATTATTGAAAATAATGGGAAAGAAAACCCCTCTTTTTTTTTTTTTTTTTGCAAATAAAGATACTTTTCATCTAACTTTGGGTGTTGACAGAATTTGTAAGTAGGTATATCATATCATATTTACACTTGGAGAAGGAGCTGAGAAGGGACAATGTGTGGCCAGAACTGGATATTTAGAAAATTTTTGTATAAAATTTACCATTACACCATAAATACAAATGAGATTTTAAAAGAGTAAAGCCCATATTATGGTTTTAGGCTGAATGAGGGGGCTTGAATACCAAATTTGATCCTTAATAGCTGTGTAGCTATAAAAATAAGTCATAAAGCAGTTCTATAGCAGTTTCCTGATACACAAAGTGAGGATAATGATACCTCAAGAAATTGTTAACATGTGTTCATGTATATGAACATTAGAACAAAATTTAACCCTTATTAATCACTTAATTTATGTTCATCCTGTTTGATCACTCTAGATTCTATGAATAATATCTAAAAAGTCTAGTGAATATGATTGAGTATGATACATTACAACCAAAGCAAAGCTATATGTTAGGATTGAATCATTTCACTCTACCGTTTAATTCACACACAACACAAAACTCGTCACTGTGAACAACAGCATACAAAGATCTGAGAAAAGAGCCTCAAGAAGCTCTCAGTCTGTTTCCTGAATTCCTGTACACTATACAACTGAAACTAAAAAGCAAAACTATTTTGAATGAATTCCAGGGCATTCTTCCATGTATAAATCACCCACTACTGCATGATGTGTGTTTGGGGGAGAAGGGTCTATGTTCAATTGTTTGTTTTATAACCATAAAATGACATTTATAAATTGCTTTCAAGATATAGGACAATACTATTCCCTCATCTTCCAAATCCTATATTTCTTATTTTGATCATATAATCTCAAGGCCTGTCCGACACAGAAAATTATAACATAAGGCAAAATAAATACTAATTTTCCTATTATTTAATTTTATTTAATGAGCGAATTAGTGACAAAGTAAAGATCAATTCATAAAAGCATACAGTTTGATAAAATAAAGCAATAGAAAATGAAATTTCTGCATCTACTGCTTGTTTTAATTTTAATTTTTATTTATTTATTTTTTAAAGATTCATTTTTTAATTTATGCATACAAGAGCTGGGGTGTAGGCCAGAGGTACCGGGGTGAGGGGTGAGAGGATTCACCGAAACAGAGTGGGGAGCAGAATAGGTGGATCTACTGAAATACCCTGCTGAGGGAGCAGTGGGTGAGACAGAAGTGGTCGGCTGTGCCTTGTGGGTTAGCTCCCTTGCCAGGGATGGAACTCATGCTGCAGTGGTTGCTGATAGCTTGACAGCACTGACCTTAAACCCTGCACCACCATGGAAGACCTGCATCTACTGCTTTTTAATTAATACATGACTATAAGAATATTATTTCAAAGTGAAGTGACCCATAAAATAATTACAACTCATAAACAGCAATGTACTAATATAAATAAGTCAGGTGAGAAAGACAAACACCATTTGATTTCCTTCATTGTGGTATATAGTGAAAACAAACAAATGGATGAATTAAATAAAACAAAATAATCTTTTAGACTCTCAGACTAATTAATGGATACCAGAAGGGAAGGAGCTGGGGTTGGATAAATGAGATACAACTGTATGGTGAAGACTGAATTGAACTCTTGTGGTGAACGTAGTGTTGATTTTTATTTACCACAGCTCAAACTTCTATAATGTTATAATACAATGTTATTTCAATTTAAAAAAAGGGTATATGCTCTCATATCACTATTATTCATAAAATAGAAATAGGAAAATATTGGTGCTAATTGTGGCTTTTTTAATTCTCTTTGTATATAAAGAACCTCTGGAACCGTACTGAGTTTGGTAAATGGATCTTAAAAACGGATCTGTAGTGACTGAATTTATTTTACTAGGATTTTCTGCAAAATGGGAACTTCAGATTTTCTTCTTTGTGGCATTCTCCTTGATCTACGGTGCTACCGTATTTGGAAACATTCTCATTATGGTCACAGTGACATTCAGTTCCACCCTACACTCTCCCATGTACTTCCTCCTTGGAAACCTCTCTTTCTTCGACATGTGTCTCTCCACTGTAACCACACCCAAGATGATCACAGACTTGCTCACTGTACATAAGACCATCTCCCTGTGGGGTTGCATGGCCCAGATGTTCTTTATGCACCTCTTTGGGGGTGCGGAGATGACTCTTCTGATAGCCATGGCCTTTGATAGATATGTAGCCATATGTAAGCCATTGCACTATAGGTCGATCATGAGTAACAGATTGCTGAATGGATTTGTGATCATTTCATGGATAATTGGTTTTATACACACCATGAGTCAGATGGTATTAACAGTGAATTTACCTTTTTGTGACAACAATGTCATAGACAATATATTTTGTGACCTACCCCTTGTGATTAAGCTTGCTTGTATTGAAACATACACCCTGGAATTGTTTGTCATTGCTGACAGTGGGCTGCTCTCATTCATCTGTTTCATCCTCCTTCTTATCTCCTACACTGTCATCTTGGTCACCGTTAGACAAAGGTCATCTGGGGGGCTCGCCAAAGCTCTGTCCACATTGTCTGCCCACATCATTGTGGTCACTTTATTTTTTGGACCTTGTATTTTTATCTATGCCTGGCCATTCAATAGTTTTGCAGGCAATAAAATCCTTTCTGTATTTTACACTGTTATGACACCCTTACTGAATCCTATTATTTATACCCTGAGAAATGAGAAAATGCAAGGAGCCATGAGAAAATTACGGTTCCGAAATGTTAGCGCTATGCAAAACTTCTAGATTTCTAATTAACGTAACTTTCAAATAAATGCTATGCTAACAGAATTTTAATAGATTATAAACAACAAATCATTTTGCTCTTCTGATGTTAGAATAATAATCTGTGCATAAAAATAATAAAATATTTTATACTCATATTATCCCAGTGACCTGCTGCCAAATACACATAGATCATTAAGTGTTTTTCCACCGATTTTCTCTACATATCTATTAGTGAAAAAACAAACGTGAAAATATATGTAGTGAATATTATTAGAGATGATTTAATAGATATGGATTGTTAATGACATGCAAAAACTTACATTATCTTTAAATGAGATATGAAAAACAAGTAAAAGAAATAATGTTATCAACAATGGAAAATATGATTGAATCTCTTGAATAAATTAGAAAAATAAGCATAAAAATTTTAAATTCAATAATATAGTGAATATAAGGTGCCAGAGTGAATTTAAGACACTAGGGGGGAAATAGCAAGGGAAGGGCAGTTGCAACAGAAGTACAAAGTCTTAATGAAACTAAAGAATGATAAAGAGCATTGAAACCAAATGTTCTATGAGATAGCATACATTTGCACAGTAAAGTAAAAGTCTTGATTTTATGTAATTTACCAGGTAACTTTTTCTTTCCAAGTGCTTCACATAAAACTAAAGCTAAATTTGTCTCTGGTAGACTTGTAATCCTTGTTGTGGTTAAAAGCTAAATCTGACTTGTTTGTGAGTTTTGAGGTGGGGGGCAGTGTGTAATAAATTGAGAATACCACACTTGAAATATTACATTTGAGAACATCTTTCCTATGTCCGTGTCTGGTTTAGATTTCTTTATTTTACTCTGTTATAGCATGCTGCAATTTTCATCCTTTGTACAAATTATGAAAACTATGCAGTTATAGGTTAATTTCAATTTTATCTCCACATATATCATACAGAAGTTCATACATGCCTACCGAATGACTCAAGAAAAGATTAAATAGCTACTTTATAAGAATATTATTCAGCCTGACCTACAACTAAGGAACACATTCACCTCTATTGTGAGTTATTATGTGTCAAAAATATTAAGAGTATGTAAGGGTATATGCTTCTCCTCTATTTCAGTAATTTAATTATGGGAATTAGAATTCTATAATAAATCAATGAGTATGGACTAGATGGAAAAGTTAAAGAAAATGGAAGGAAAAAAAAGCAAGTTCAAAATATTTGCTAAAATAAATAAAAATATCATAGTCAACCCTGTATCTATACAACAAACAAGAGTCTGTTTTTCATGATAGCATTAAGGTATTCTAATATCAAGGAATTCTAACCATTTATAAGGTATACAGATATCCAGCAATGGATGGGATTATATTCCAGTTGATAAAATCTGTAAAGTTATATGTCTGTCAGTATAGCATACTCAGGATCCTGAGCTAACCTTGCTACAATTATTTAAAATAAGTTTTAAAAGCAATTAAAAATGCTAAAGTAAAAAGGCACACCTGAAACCCAGTAAGAAGCTTGAAGAACACTCCATGAAGACACACCAGCCCAGAACTCTTGCCCATGGGGAGAATATGGACAGAATATTGTGACTCAGAGATCCCACAAGTGGAACTGTGAATGTGGGAGAGCACTGCAGACCGCACTTTGAGACTAAACTGGAGTGGATATTTATCAAAGGTCATGCTGAGGACTCATTTTCTAAAAAAGGAGAAAATGCATGCATGTTTAGCAGAAGTGGTGAGCATGAAAAAAAAAAAAAAAAACCTGTCTGAAACTTGACTCTTACTGGAGATGAAAATAAAAGGTTCTCTGGCAAGACTTTGGCTTGTCATCACATTCTTTTATGTTTCAACACCTCATGGTGAGAATTCTCCTTTAACTTGCTACCTAAGGGAGTGGCCTCAGTCATTTGACAGAAGTCAACACAAACATTGAAATAAAAAGCGTTCCTTGTAAACAGACAACACTAAACTAAACTCTCACAGAAAGATTTTAAAAGTAAAATATCACAATAAACAAATCATTAGACAAATAAACAAAAAACCCCAGAATAAATGGGAACCAGTAGAAAGGAAAAAATCAATGCACATAATGGTAGGAAATATTTATAAATCATGTTTCTAATAAGGAATTTGTATCTAGAAGACAAAGAAAACTTTTTTTAGAAAAATGTTCTAAAATTCTATAATTTTATTATATATTTTTATCCAGGTAATATTGGTTTCCAACACTGTATATGATTTAGAGGTAGAGGCTCATACCTCTCTATATGTGAGTCACCACACCACACCCACCACAAAGGCACCCTTAGTTCTCCACCAGTCCCCTGGGCTCTCTCCATAGTTGCTCACCCATCCGCCTCCCTCATTGGCAGCCTTAATTCTATAGATAGATTTATAGGGTTTGGTAATGGTTTGGTTTTATATGGTCAGATTTCCAGGATTTGTTCTGGTTTCATTTTGTCTATTCCTGTTTTGTTTCTGTATATTCACATGTGAGAGAAATCTTTGATATTTGTCTTTATCCTTCTGATTTATTTCACTTAGTGTAGTCGTCCCCTCCAGTTTCATCCACACTGTCTTAGTGGCAACAGTTCATCTTTTTGCTTAGCTGAGTAGTATTTCCTGTAGTATTTCATTATATGTGTGTGTGTGTGTATACACATATTTTCTTAAATCACTTATCTGTCTTTGGGTACTGAGGTTGCTTCTATAAATTGGTTATTGTAAATAGTGCTAAATTGAACTAGGAGAGCATATATCCCTTTGAATCACTGTTTTTTGTGTTCTTTGGATAGATACCTAGTATAATTATCGCAACATATAGTAGATCTATTTTTAATGTCTTGAGAGCCCTTCATTCTGACTGTTTTCCATAGGCACTAGATCAGCTCAGTCCATCAACAGTGTATGAGGGTTCCTTTCTCTCTACATCCTGACAAAAACCTGCTGTTTCTGATCTTTTTGTTATGAGTCATGCTCACAGGTATAAGTGGTATGTGACTGTGGTTTGGTTTTGGTATGCATTTCCCTGATGATAAGTGATAATGAGCATTTTTTTCATGTGCCTGTTGGCCATCTGTTTGTCTTCTTTAGAACAATGCCTATTTAGCTCTTCTACTATTAAAAAAAAGAGATAGTCCTTGTTCATGGTTTTGGAAGAACTAACATTGTTAAAATGACCCATAGCAATATACAGAGTCAATGCATCCTTATCAAAGTTGCAATGGTATTCTTCAATGAACAAACATTACTGAAATTTATATGGAATTATAAATGATCTGAATTGACAAAGCAATCCCGACCAAAAGAGGACACTAGGTATCATATCGCCTGACATCAAACTATATTAAAAGTCTTAGTAATCAAAAGAGTATGCAGTTGGAACTAAAACACACAGACCAAGAAAACACAATTGAAAATTTAGAAATAAAGTCTGCCCTAATTTGGGCAGTTTACGACAATGGAGCTAAGAGTATACACTGGAGAAAGAAAAATCTCTTCAACAATGGTATTGAGAAAACCGGAAAGCCACATGCAAATGAATTTCATATATACTCACAGTATATATGAAAATTAACTCAAAATGAATTAAAAACATAGATGCAAGATCTGAAACAATAAAATACATACAACAAAGACAGGTAAAGCATGACATTGACCTCAGTGATGTATTTGGAAGCTTAACTCCTACCACAAGGGAAACAAAAGCAAAAGTAAACAAATGGGACTACATAAAACTAGAAAACTTCTGCACAATGAAACTACCATTAAAATGAAAAGACAAACTACTGAGTGGCTGAAAATAAGTGCACACCGTGCATCTGACAAGGGGGTAATATCAAGATATACAAAGAACTCATTCAACTCAACAAAAAAGTAAACAAAATCCCAATTAAATATGGGCAGAAGACCTGAGAAATAGAGATGGCTAACAGGTACATAAAACATGCTCATCATCATCATCAGGAAAATATAACTCAAAACTCCTCTCAGATGTCACTTCATATCTGTGAGAATGGCCCAGACCAAAGGAACAGAAACAGCAAGTGGTAGTGAGTATGTGGAGAAAAAGAACAGCCTGAAGTGTTGGAGGGAATGTGGAAAAGAGAATCAATGTTTCTCAAAATATTAAAAATAGATCTGCCATATGAGCCGGTAATGCCTCCAATCTTAGGTATCTATCTGAAGAATATAAAACCCTAATTAGAAGGGATGTATACATTCCTGTGTTTCTTGCGGCACTATTTACAAAAGCCAAGTTATGGAAGCAACCTAAAAGCCCAACTCAAGGATAAATGAGTGAATTAAGAAGATACACACACACACACACACACACAGAGGAATACTACTCAACTATATGAAAAAAGATGAACTCTTGCCATTGGCAACAACATGGATGGAAGTGAAAGGAATTAAGGGAAATAAGTCAGAAGGAGAAAGACAAATGTCAGATGGTTTCACTTATATGTTGAATATAGAGAAACAAAACAAAGGGTCATACAAAATTAAAACAATCACAGCCCTAAAATGCATTTCTTATCAGCAAGTACTATCAAAAAGGTACCTTTGGTGGTAGGTGTGGTGCAGTAACACACACCTGAAGATGTGGGGGCTTTATATATCTGAATTATATGCAATGTTGTAAACCTATTGTTACTTTAATAAAAAAATAAAATCTCAAAAACATAATAGGGATTAATTTTTAAAAATTAATTAAAAGGAAATTGGTGGAAGTGGCACTCTGGAATCTCCATGCTTATGCATACAGGGCTATAGAAACTAGTTCTTCATGTTCTTAGACATGTGAGAACACCATGCTGTAAAGAAGCTCATATCCACCTTCATTAACATGAAAACACATATTGTGAAGAAAGAGGTCCTAAAACAAAGTGAGAGGTACAATCATACCCTGGCAGACATGAAAACACATGAGCTAAGCCATCTTACATAATTAGTGCCCAGTTCACACACCTAGTTAATAGCACATGGAGAAGACTTGATATGGCTGCTGAAA